CCAGGGTGGTGGCTCTGCCCGTCCCCGTCACCGCTCGACTACCTTCGCATCCTCAAGTGGACGAAAGAGAGTAGTATTCTCTAATAGCTTCGGCGAAGGTAGGGGTGATGGAGTCAGAATGAATGGGACAGTCGAACCAACGACGCCAAGCGATGGAAAGAGAAGACGAGTGGGCGAAGAAAGAGATTCTTCAACTGCATTGCCTTCTGGATCACGTCTTGCCCCACCTGCCCCGCCCAACGGGACCACCGCATCATCACAGGAGAGTGTACCCACAAATGGTTTGCATTTCGGTACATCCTCCCCTGCTTCACGTTTTACGACTAGTACACCCGCGCGGCCGAGCCCACTTCGCCAAAGCATGCGTGCAGAAAGCACTTCTCCCGGAAGCTCGAGCCCCGGGAGTGCAAGCGAAGGGAGCCCACGGTCGAGATTCTCAGTTACTGGTGTAGAGGGAAGGTCAAAGGCAAGCGAGAAAGCCAGTGAGATCATGGCAGGGATTATTAATGATGCAACACCCAAGAAAGTGCGTTTATTTACACTTTATGTTCGATCCTCCCCCCATGAATTTTTTTGTCGGATTGTGATTAACATCCCAATCAGGAACCTGTTCCAGACGTGTGGAACCCATACCAGCCTTCCACTCGAAGTCCCACAAAACGTAATCGCAAAGTATGTTAAGAATCTTTGTTTCTCGGGCTGACCTGACGCATCCCCATAGACCACAACCAAGGCGTCCAAACCACCTCCACGTCCTGCGCGTGCTGCCGCTCCCCCGCCCGACCCAGAACCAAGAAAACTTAGTGCGCTTGAAACCATTCAAAAGACGGCCCCTCCAGTTCAGGTTTGTCCTACAGTACATGTGCTTGTCACTTCTAACTAGGTGCATCTAGACGGGTTCTAAACGATCGCATACGAGCATGACTCCTCCAGCCTTACCCTCTCTCAGTACAAACGGTATCGCAAAGGGTGTTGGTGCTGGCCCTATCGCTGAGAAGCCATTTGTGATTGAGATTGATGACGATGAACCAGAATCGGAGCCAAGGTCGCCTAAAAAGCAGCGATCCGAAAAGCAAGAGCCCTCCAATGGAAAGAAGGCCGCGGAGAAGGAGCGAAGGGCGGTTGAGATATGTGATGTGGACATGGCCACCGCTTCGCCTGCTGATGCCGTCAGTCGACCCACTGAGGTTATCGAGCCCGACGCTGCGTCTGACTCACAACAGGCCCACGCCCAACAACAACAGGATAACAAACGCCCTGTATTTCCCGGGCTATTCAAAGCTCCCGCCCGCTTCCAAAGTGCGCCTAAGGAGCCATCGCCGCTTCGACAAAGTTTCCAGCCAGATGGACCCTCAAGTCCTCCCCAAAATGCAGCGCCTGCTAGTGAAGCATTTATGTTTGCAGCGAAGTCGAACCCGGCAGCTTCTACTTTCAAACCGGCGACAGCTTCTTTTACCCAAACGTCGATCTCCTCAACCCTCGGACAGCCAGAGAAGTCATCATCTGTGAAACAACAACCTTCCCAGTCTCTTCCACAGGTGTCTGCTAAACCTAGCTTCAATGTTACGGAACCAATACCTCCTGTGTTAGGATCCGTCACCTCACCAGCTTTCTCGTTTAACTCTTCGTCTTCGCAACCGGCTGCTCCTTCCGCGGAAGCGGATTCGTCGGCCTCCGCTGCGGCTTCCTCTTCAACTTCCTCTGCAAGTTCCTCCTCAAAGCCCCCGCCAGGTAATGCAGCAACAGACTCGCTTGTGCTTGCCAAGAAGCAGGTACTGGAACTTCCTGTCAGCACGCTCCCAACCTTTGCTTTTACTTTTAAGACGAGCGCGACCTTCTTGCCAGAGTACGCAGACGAACGTGAAGCAGCGCTTGCTCTTCCCATCCACGAGCTGCCCAAATTTGATTTTGCAGCCAAGCCAAACCCCAAGCATACGCCTGCATCTTCCCTAGCTCCACCGCCGAAGCAGGAGGTGAAGGCATTTGATTATGCTGCTGCTGGGTTCAAACCTATTGTCGAAAGTGGGTGGAAATGTCGTAGTTGCGATTGTAGTAATCCAGAATCAAAGTGAGTCTGTCCCGATTTTGGGTAATGCCTCCTTATGCCCTGTGATCATAGTGCGAAGTGTTGCGTGTGCGACGTTAAAAGACAATAAGAACCAACTCGCCGCATTTTGTATATTGATTCTCTGTATTGGGAGATATTTGATAGAGCTAGCACAGAGTTACAGTTTGCGATTGTTCACATCCGGATAGAAAGGCATTGGCACATAGCACGATGACTTTTTACGTTTACACCAACCGGTGCAGTGCTACACGGATTTTGGGGACGTGAGCAGTGGCATGTAATGATATTGGCGTGGTTCGTAACGTAAGAATCGTTAACTCGTTCATCCGACCGAATGGTCGTCGATAAGTAGAGGTATTGCACGGCACCCATGTGGGATAAAACAGTGAATGGCTCTAACTGGCATCAAGATGTCGAAAAGTTCAGCTTTCTTGCGACGTGTCGACCATCGCCTTCATTACCGTCCGTCGCAGATTGCTTACGCTTCAACCTATTAGTCTCCGCAGTTTGTTTGGAAGGTATGGCCGGTTTTGGGGAGAAGGCAGGTGAGTTGGCATCAAGCTCTTCGAGGGGGAGCGGGCGGGGTGCTAGAGGATTCTTTGTTTTAGGAAGTTTGGAGGGGTGCGAAGGGTACGGGAGGGCGAAAAAATAAGAATGATGAAGTGCCTGTATATAGGAGCATAGAAGGCGTATTTAAGTCAAAGGCTGGGGAGGGAGTGGCTGCTCACCTCTTTAGCACCTATTCGCTTTCGAGGCTCATACGTCAAAAATTTAGAGAGGAGTGAGACTGCGTCCGCAGAGGCTGCTGTAAACAGGTCGCGTAGTTGTGGTTTCGGGAATTGGCCAACGGGAACGTAGTCTGGGAGTTTCGTGTGGCCCTACAAACACATCGTTTAGTGTAATTGATAGAAAATACTAAGGAATACTTCTGTCGCGGGGGTAGATAGGGGAACCAGAGAAGGGGGTATCAAAGGCATGATGAGAACATGAGTGAAGACGTACCGGCCAGTCTTCTTCAGTAGGCGTTCCCAACGCTCGAAACGTCGTCTTAAGTTGGTCCATATCGCTCTCACCAGGAAGATAAGGTACACGCAGCATAAGCTCCGCGAATATACATCCGACTGACCACATGTCTACTGCAGAGCTATAGTATCGGCAACCAAAAAGCAGCTCTGGTGGTCGATACCAACTGAAAATAATGTTAAATCGTTAGATGAACTTACGGAACGTTTCAAATAACTGAAGAAAGAGGTGAAGAGGACCGAGAATAAAGTACGTACCGGGTGATCACTTGACACGTCATTTTTTGTCCTGGATCAGCAAAATCACGCGCGAGGCCAAAATCTGCGATTTTAAGTTGACCATCAGCGGCAACGAGTAAGTTGTTTGGCTTTAAATCCTAGGTAAAAGGGGGTAAATTTAAGTACAGGAAGCAAGGGAGGCTGGTATTTTAATGCTTCACGAACTCGATGAAGGATGAAGTTTCGATGACAAAATTCAAGACCATGAAGAGTCATTGCGAGCCAGCTCTTGATGTCGGCGGGGAGAAATACATTTGAACGGTCCTTGATGATGAGTTCCAGGTCAGACTCCAAGAACTCGAGCACCAAGTTCAGATTCTTTTTCGCAGAAAAAACGTCGAGAAGCTGAGAGTCGTAGTTCAGGGAGAAGTCCTGGGCATGCAGGACAAACAACATGCCTCGATCACGTTCTGATGGTGGATTTCGCGAAGGTATTTAACCTCTCGTACAGCGGACATATCGAGACCGTCTTTAAAAAGACCAACTTTTATCTTCTTGATGGCCACTTGGCGGCCTGTTGCCACTTCCCGACCTTGAAAAAATCAAATAAATAGTCAAAAAAACTGACAGTGATGACAAAATTACAACTAACCTCTATAAACCACGGCATATGTTCCTTCTCCTACTTTGGACAGCTTCTCCCTGGATATTCTGTTGTCAGATGTCAATCATACAACGAGCTGACTTTATTTGCCATCGGCTCTGCACCGCGATATTTGCACGCTCTACTGCATCCATTGTACTTAATTTATGTATGAGCAAGCAGGAACATGGATAGAACTCAGTAACACTTACGTTATTGGTACTATATGTACTCACGATGGACACTAGCACTGGTAGACTTGTAATAGGGGTCCAGAGTGACAAAATCCAAGAAAGAGCCCCCTTCTCTAACGAGAAAGGGCGTGGACCCCAGTCGCCAGACTAACGCAGCTCTATAAAGTATCAAACTGTCTGACAAGGTCAGATCTGAGCAGGGCGTAAATACTCAAATGGGTCGGAGTTCGATAAGTGGAAGTAGAAGCGCCCAATAATTGCTATAAGCAGAAGCTCTCATGTCCGAGCCAACTCCTCAGGACAACTCAACACCGCAGAATTATAGAGAGAAATTTCAAGTAATTACTATATTTGATTCGGGTGACAACCTCTTAATTTGTTTCCAAAGGGCAGGGAAGTTGTGACCAAGTGGGCTGAGTAAGTAGAGAACCCTTTTACGGAACTTGAGAGCTCACAATGCATGCTAATTTTCGTTCGAAGTCCATGTGATCACGCATCAAAAGTAAGTTATTGGATGAATAGATGTCCCTTGCCTTAACTCAGTTCATTAGGCTTCGATGGACTGTTTGAACCGCAATGATTATGACCGGGACAAATGCACGGAGTTTTTCCGAGCTTATCGAGAATGTAAAGCTTCATGGGTGCGACAACTTCTCTGATTTCATACCTACGACGCTCACCAGACTCAGCTTGAACAACGTAGAGAAGATAGGCGCGCTGGACGTCCTGTTGATTGAAGGGAAAATGCGAAAATAGACATATAACCTAGTAGTGAACACATAAGAACTAGATTATTACTAGAGTTATGTCAATGAAGGATCGTCAGAAAAATGTATGATCACCCCCAAAACTAATGCCTTCTAGCCGATTTGAACGACTGACCTCGTCATAACATCTGACCTACTAGTGACGCGCTCTACCAACTGAGCTAAGAAGGCAGATACCGATTCATCCTCCTAATTTGTCCTAAGTCTAATAAAAATCCTTGTGTTTTGTGACATTTGGATAAGTGTTCCCTCTCATTATCTAGGGATGCGGTTACGTAGGAGATGCTCAGGAGATGATCTCAGGAAGTAGATAGTTGAAAGATTCAGAAAAACAATATTAGAGGGACATACTGACTCAGTAGATTACATAAGGACATCAGCGACCCGGAGATCCATGTCAATTGATCGCTGATCGTTTGCAGCTGCCAATGCATGGTAGAGCCTCTGCTGATTTGACAGACATGAACATTCCAAAGTTGTATCATTTTCTACTGTTAGCATTAAGAGGCCCTGAGGATTTAAACACCGGATGGAAGGCCGGAGGGTCACCCCCAAAATGTAAAATGTCCAATGAGACCTCGAAAAGGTCAATCTGTGATTTTTTGTGAAAATATCATCTTTTGGCCCTGGAAGACACCTCATGTGATGCAACGCCGCGCAGGCATGCTGACCATCATGTATGACAGTCTGAGATGGCCACTTGGGCAGCCTAGGTAGCTCAAGGTAGCATTGAGGTGACATTTAGATCAAGCCCTGAGGATTTCTTCACCAGATGGAAGGCCTACTAGTAGGGGGGGGGTCACACAAAAAAATCTCAAATTTACTGCCTCTGAGACAAGATTTCTAGCATTACAGTAACTAGCAGCTAGGTAGACAGGGGGTATCCATGTCCCTCCTAAAAAGACATTTGGGAAAATAAAAGGTAAAGGGGGGGGAGGGGTCCAGAAAAAATATACCCTTCCATCATTTTAAAAAGTCCTCGGGGCTCTTGGTTAGCATGGTCAATTTCCAGACCGAGATGGTTTGTTACAGCGAGGAGTGCCACGGGACTTGCATCAAGTCGGAGCTTCAAATTGTTTTCTCTCGCCGAGTCTATTTTCTGCCGAAAGGAAACCAAAATCAACTATCCCTATAACGTTACTAATCAACATTCCACGTTAGATTTTTTGCTTGTCTCGATGCTGCTTCAAGAGGTAGTCCTATGCTCCACAGCACCATCCTCAAGCACCGGTTCAGGCCTCATTGCCATCCACGACATGCAAACCGGGACATCGCTCGCTTCTTTCAAACAGACTAGCCCAGCAGCTCACTGCACCTCCCATGTAGAAACTAAAAATGGTCTGGGCGGTTTGATATTGGCTACGCAGTCAGACAAGGCCTTGTTAAATGTTTTCAGTTTCCAAAAGGTGTGATAGAAAATTAGTTATGTTGGATGTATTTCCTACATGTCTCCGTCTAGGACCAATTACTGTCCAAAATTGTGCTCCCGGAGACACTCAGTTGTACTGCGGTTGACTCTCTAGGAGAATACTGTGCAGGGGGGACGTCGAATGGCCGAATATATTTATGGGAGGTCAGTATTGATTGATGTCCTACACAGGATCAAGCACTTGTTGACAGGAGCTTATAGATTGCCTCCGGAATACTTTTCAACTCGTTTGAGGCCCATTATCGCCGTGTGACTGTTTTGCGTTTTACTCAGGACGGTGCCGCTCTTGTCTCCGCCAGCGATGACTCTAGCGTCAGTGTCTGGTCCATATCAAGGTCATTAAATCAATAAGACGTTATCTATAGGTTACCTAATTTCCCCGTAGGCTATTGGATGGGAATCTACAAAGCGAGATTCCGACACCGTATTGCTCCTTTTCAGAACATACCCTCCCTGTGACAGATATCTCCTGTGGAATTGGAACTTTCCCATCTTGTCGAGTTTTTACGTCCTCTGTGGATCACTCGGTGAAGGTTGGTCCGTAGCGAGTCGCTTATGGTCTTGTTAAAACATTTATGACACAGATTTGGGATCTTTCAACACATAGCTTACTTAGCTCGTTTTTGCTCCCTCAACCAATATCCGTCCTATCTGTCGATCCTTCCGAAAGATTTTTCTTTGCAGCATCAGGAGACGGATCGATACATCAAGTTAATTTATTCCGAAACCGAACGGATCCCATGGGCTTGCGATCCATCGAAGCTCTTGGAGGTGGAGGTATGAGTGATATTATCCGGCTGTCTGATGATGAGAACCAGAGATTGATTTCTGTCGGGTAAGCCTGATTTGATCTCCAGGAATTCGCTATTACTAATGCGGTTTTTCCGCTGTAGACAACCTGTGACCGCCCTATGCTTGTCGATGACAGTTTCTCTGCTTTTAGCTGGCACGCACTCAGGCCATGTCCAAATTTTTGATGTGGCATCTCATCAGCTCTTACGCACTATCAATACCTATAAGGATAAAGGGCTTTCAGTCACATCGCTCGCCACGTTTCTCAAACCCCCAGACCTTTTCGGTCATGTGAGCCTTGGAGATGGCGGAGCTGCCGCCAGAGATACTGATCCTGTCAGACCTATTGCCTCCTTTCAAAGAACCCGAGACGCTTCAGCCAGAGAGAATCACGAGGTAATCATGATGTTGCCCGTCCAAGAAGCGGTATGTAATCTCCTCAAAGTTGTCCCTTTTTTCTTTACCTATATCGTCTTAGGTGCCCAAGGCATTTTCCCCCGCCATGGAGGAGCTACTGAAGGAGCATCGGTATTTTGTTCAAGGAATAGATGCCACGACTTCAAACGGCATATCCCTGCAGTCTCGAGTCTCGGAACTTGAAGCAGAAGTTGCTGGCTTAAGGGAACAATTGGGGAGCGCAAAAGGCTTAAATGATGCCATGTGGGAAAACGTCGTTCAAAGAGTACTAAACCGTGATGGTCAGGCAAACGGTGACGCAGAGGCGGAAATTGGTGAGCGCAACAGAAAAAGAAGCAGGATGGTTAAATAGGAATGGGAATGCTTTCATGGGGGTAATTTCTTTCTCTTTCGCGACACTGGATGTCTTCAAGTTGTCACACCTATACTCACATTCCACTTCCGAACAGAATCTGAAGGATCTGATCAACAGTAGTTGAGTTCAGGTAATTCCTGTGACATCTGAATTTTTGGTCTCTCACGTACGAAGTCTTGCTATGTTTTTCCGTTCCTGCCTTACTTCTCTGTATTCACTGCTCCCGGGATTATCGACTTCAGTGGTCTTCTAAGCATTTTGACCCCGCAACGCCATGGCATGTTCTACAAGCTTATGAAATTGATCGAGCGGTTTCGATTGGAAATTCTAAGAGGCACTCCACTGAAACGTACCCAAACTCCCGCGGACAACGCATGCGCACCCTCCCTCAATTACTACGTATTTCATATTCCAAATTTACGAGCAGTTGTTCCAGCATGTGGCCTTTACATAACAGCATCCGATCGTTCGTTAATACCACGCATGACAGGTTATGCCAAGTCCTTTAAATTACAGTATGGTATAAACCACCAATTTATTGCTAACAAAGGCACACGTTTGTGCCGAGTCCCTGTAGTAATTCCAGAGCTGCTCAGGATTTCGGAACCCAGCGTAAATCAAGACGTAAATCCATTGCAAGCGGCACATAACGAGAATACAACCTCCAAAAAAGGAATGCTAGAATTGAGCGTAGATCGGTAATTCATTGAGTCTCCAAGAATGGGCAGACCTCAGCCAGGAACACCGAAATCAATGCCGAAGCAAGATAACCTTCCGTCCACTTCATCCCAGCCGACACAAGTATCTGTTGAGAATATATTGAGTATCACGTTAGCAATAGCGTGATGTTAGCTCACTTATATCGAGAGAAGTCGTGAATGAATTGCCGGCGTCCGGAATTTCGCAAGTGCAGGTGAGAATAGTACCGGCACCATTACTGCAGGGGAAGCAGACTTCGGCGACGTTTCCACTGAAAATAACGATGGGTCAGTACGCTTGCATTGAGTCTTCGAATTAGCTCACTCCTCGAAACATTCCAAATGGCCAGAGCTGGGGTTGTGGCCAACTTGGTCTGTAGCAGAGAACCCTACGCACAATGATAACTCGATTTGAGAGAGTATGGGGACACCGTTCGCTCCGGGACAAGTTGTGCTCAATACTAGCCCGGTGCCTGTACCCTCTATTTGCGGGTCGACACAGCCTGCTTGGATGAAGCCACTGTCGGCTTTGGAGAGCAACAAGCTGCCAAGGATTTGGACAGCAGAAAGAATAGCGTAGAGTCTGAACTTCATCGTAGCACCCTACGACTTCGAATGGACTGGGTTGGTGAAGTGCTGGCTGCAATCTTCAGTCTTTTTAAAGCTTTAGCTGTTGTTCATGCCACCGTGCGATGCTAGGAATCCAGCCGGCCCGATAGAAATTTATTTTGATAGATTTTGATGCATAGTACATCTGGTTCGCGGATTCGAGGTTCCAAAGGAAAGCTTAATAGCTACCATGGCTTTTTGAAGCATGTATCCACTCAAGCGATCTACTCAATGTGACAGAATGTGTGATATTTAGTCCAGTGACGCCGCAGCTTCTGCTTTCGGTGTAGCGTGTTGGGTACAATTGGTGTTTGATGTGAAAGAATGATTCTGGAGAAATTTTCTCGGTGGGTCCTGGCCGGATGTCTTCGAATCGATACTGGTACGTGCAGATTGGCCCGGAAGGGTGGCCCGCATCTAGTGTAAAGATGCAGCAGAGGTTGAACTACAATCCTATAGGGCCCTAGCCACGGTTCTCAATCCCAGACCTTACTTTTTACGGCCATGTGAACCTACGGGATGGTGGACTCTCTGCTATCAGAGATATTGACCTAGTCAAGCGCCCCCTTGCAACACAGGCGAGACGCTTCAGCTAGACCATGATGCTACGTACCTATTTACAAGAGCAATATTTTATTCCCTATTACATCCTCTTCTGCGTATTGGTATGGAGAATGACTTTGCCATGGAGCCTCTCCAGAATACCATCGCCATTTTGTTCAAGAGGACCTTGAACAACACATACCTATCTGGAGACTGGAATCCGAAAGTCGAGGGGAAACAACATTGTAAGCGAATATAAGAAGCAACTAGACGTTGATGCCAAGCCCTAACGTTGGAAGTGTCGCTCTTTGAATTTTCAGAAGTGATG